ATATATATATAATCCAGTAATGCTATAATTTTATATAAATCTTGAAAATTAAAGAGAAATATATATATTGGACACAATTAAAATCACACCGCATCTTGCAGTCTATCAAGAGCCAGACACAGACATTTTGAATATTTAAAAAAATACTCCTCTCAAACAATCCTATAGAGGGCAGCCTAGTTATAAAAAAATTATGACATCTATACAGGGCGTACGTACAACACCCCTTGCTATAAAGTATGGTCAAAGAGGGCGTTGTTGTGATGCCATACGACTGGAAAGGGTTAACGGTGCTACGCAGCAACTGGAGCTTAGAAGTATCCATAGGGGGAAACTAAAACAATGAAGAGGGTTAAAAACAGTACCTTAAGGAGAAAGTATCTCTAAGGGGAAACTAAAACGACGATAAGGCGAAATCATAGACAAAAGAGTTTCCCCTTAGGAGCCGAATAAAGGAATTTATATATATCTTCTGATCTCTGTTATTTGCAATGCATTTATTCAAACAAAGTGTCTCTTACGTGGTGCTGGTGTTGTAACATGAATGGTTGTCGTTGATCCTGGGGTTGCTGTTGAAGAATGAAGAAATGTTGTTTTAAATAAATTTTATTTTATTTTATTTATTCATTGCATCAAAAATGCATTTGAACTAAATGTCCCCTACAATAAAAAGTTAAAACAATACATAAATACAATAGATATAATATGGAATAGATATATTAAATATTAACAACATAACAATGTTAATTCTTATATATAGGAACAGATGATCATACACAGCAAAACAATAATTACACTATATGGTAAGTACAGTTGTAGGAATAGTTCATTTTTTACAATTTAAATGCTTTAAAAGCTTTACAGATATCTTTTAACCAAAAAAAAAAAAGAGTTACACAAATGACAAAATAAAGCTCTATCTGCACTTTAAAATTTAGTGACATACAAATGTGATATGTCCATATTTGGGTGTATAATGGCATCATCCTGCCCATATTTGAAGACACTACAAAAATTAGTCACATAACATTTGATAATGTGGACTGTAATCATTACTTTCGCAATCCTCTTCATCACTGTGATCGGCACATTCATAACGTCCGTTGCACACAAGATTACGGTGATACAAGCAAGAGCCATCCGAACATTCATGAGCACAATGAGGAGTGGTTGGCGATGTGGAATGCGAGACAGTAGTAGGTGGACGTGTAGGGTGACTGGTTGTTGTATATTCCTCAGTTGTAGTTCTGACTGTACTTGCTGGCTCAGGCACTATGAATTAAAAAGAACAGAAGTAAATAGGGGAACAAATGAATGATAGGATATGAAAAAAATGAGTAACATCTAGGCCTATGCTACATAGTATAGAGTGCTAGGTAGGTCTACAGGTAAGCCTTGCTATGGGAGGAAATTGTTTGTCATAAAATAAAAACATACACTCCTCTCATTATCAGATGAATATTTTTGTGTAAAAAAACGATGACAAAAAGTGCGAAAAAAAATTTCTAAATTACTACTTTATTGGTTTTTTAAAAAAAATTTCAATGCAGTGCTCTTTCGAGTATTTTTGGACTTTCTTTGCATATATGCAGCTACCTCCATTTTGTATCTTTTTGTTTTTGTAGTTTTTGTTTGTATATGACATATTTTTATTATAATTTTGTAATTAGGCCAAAAACAAAGTATTTGGAGCTGCTCCTTGGTACAACAACAAGCGGACCATAGATTATTTGGTCAGGTGGGCATTGGTAATATTGGTGATATTCGTTTTGGCCTTATTGTGTAAATCATTAGAAATTTATTTATTTATTCAAATACTGTACTGATTTTTAATGAATTAAAAAAAACAACTTACTACAGCGTGGACAACACTCTCCTGTAGGTGTGTGTGGAGCCATACCCTATGTAAAATGAACAAAGCAGTAGTAATCTTACGCTCTTTACAAACTACAAAGGTTTATTTGACAAATAACTGTGATTCACTTTCTTCTATACATGTAATATGACATCATCATACTCATCTATGGGCAAATCACACAAAATCTTTCTCATAAAACTTGTTATTGTGGACAGAGTCTCAGATAATAATAATAAATAATATCAAATAATAATAATAATATAATAATAACAATAACTATAATAATAATAATAATAATAATAATAATAATAATAATAATAATAATAATAATAATAATAATAATAATAATAAAATAATAATAATAATAGTTCAATCTTGCTATTTTTTGCCAAAAGCACAATGCACTTTAAATAAGAAATTAAAATCCGGAATTAAGAAAAATATGAATTAAACAAGATGTAATCAGACATGGAAGACAACTTGTAATTATATTGGTGTATTTCTGAGCTATTTTATCAACTTACTACTAATAGCTGTCTGTAAATATGCACAAGTGTGAAGGATTAAATACTTCAATCGAATCTGGGTGGTTGTTACCACGACTTTAGCTGAGGGAGGTGTGGCTGAGGGAGGTGTGGCTGAAGGAGGTGTGGCTTATGGCTTTTAGCGAGCAGAATGAGGCTTAGTTTTGTGCTGGTGATACCTGGTGATACGCCTGTGACGGTGCATGATGACCAGGTCATCCTGGCCTAGATATCAGTCTAGGCCTATAGCGTTAAATTTTATAATATGAATTGGCCTAGTGGGCCTACATTCATCTTTTTGAATATGTTTGATTAATACAATTGTGACATATACTGTCTCAGTGGCGAGCAATCCTGCAAAATATACAAGAAAAGGCGTATGGTACAGTACGTTCGAAATGGATGATTGTTTTATCATCTTCCCTCCTACATTTTCCATACCAAACAAAGAGCAGAATTAAGCAATGACATAATGATTATATGAATATGACTGGGCCAGAAAGGGAACAAGATGCTCCATGGGTGAAAAGTAAAACAAATCACCTTCCTTCGTGAAATATTCTTGGATTATTAACATATAAATATAAGGGAGAGTGACGGACAATGATGCTGTACGTCCGTAGACCAATAACTGAAGGCAATTGTCTATTTTTAATTGACTTATTCTTAGAAGACTAAGTATTAGACCATAGATAGCATGTTTTCATTTTTTTCTGTGATAACGGCCTAATCACTATCCCTAAAATACAGTAAGACTAACTATTATGTAATATAATTTTACTCTGTGTAGGTCTCATAAAATGATAAATTCCAGGGAATTCTAATTTTGTAAAATATAATTCACCAACACAGGGACAACTTTATTATTTTTGTTTACACTGGTTGTATGGTACTGTATTTTGTTATGCTGTGTGATTACCTGCTGGCCACTCTCTGTCAAAGAGTTTGGAATAATGACGCACTACAACTGAAATTATGCATGACATCACCATAAGGATCCACACCTCCCTTGGCTGAAGTCGTGGTATTTTCCCAACAAAACCTTAATGGCCCGGCTGGTTAAGGTGTCTACATAGACAGCAGAATGTCCCAGGTTTGAAA